AAAAAAGGACTAAATTTTACTGTAGTAAAAAAAAAAAAGCACGAAAGTTACTTTAAAAAATTATCCACAACAATTCATAATTTATGTGGTTCCATAGCTTAGCGGTTAGCACGCCTGCCTCGGCACCAGAGAGCAGAAAGTCCTGGGTTCGATTCCCAGAATCTTAGCGTCGTAACGTAAAAGTAGTTGTTGAAGCTAAAGAACAGCCTTAAAGAACTAAACTTTAAAACCTAGCCAAAACATTAGCACATTAGCATATTAGAACATTAGCATATTAGCATATTAGCACATTAGCATATTAGCACATTAGCACATTAGCCTCTCAAAATAAATGAGTTCTTATTATATGGAACTGAGACTGGACTGAAGAAAAACTGGAAGAGTTTTTTTTCCTAATTCTAATTTTCCAATACAAGAGATGAAAGGATGTCCAGAAAATGACAAAAAATAAAATAAGATAAAATATATATATATAAATGTAAACAAAAAGAGAAACCTTTTTCTAGACGAGACATTTCAAGGTGAGTTGGTTTCAGATTTTCTTCTTCTATGAAACAGATTGTGATAAACGGCCCAACAGCCCAGAAGAAAATAAGAACGAGGAGAGAGAAGAAAAAAAAAGAAAAAAAAGTCAAGAAGAGTCGTTTAATTAAACTTGTCAAAATCCCACAGGTCTGAGGAGACAAATCCAGACTGAGTGCAGAGCAGAGCAGAGCTGTCAGTCAGTCTCAGAGGAGACGGCTGAGCACAAACACTGAACCACCGAGCCGCACTCGCAGAACAAAGATCGTTATCTACCAGAGGCCGACGCAGCTGAAGAAAAGGACCGAGTTTGAACGACGACCAACGACCGGTCGAAGATAAAGGAACATGGGCCTAAATCCCTCGTTACTAGGAGTGTATGTTGGCAACAAGAGCAAAATTCAAAATTTCATTTTTTTTTCATCGTCTCAGAGATGAAGAGTCCAACTCTTCATCAGCACATTTTCAGGTGTGAGTAGAAAAAAAACAAAAACCCAAAACGTGTCTAAAAACAACCTGAGATGTCGTTTAACGGTGTGAGATAACAGTGCTGCCCCCTCTGGACGACAAAGGCGGTGCAGGTTTCACTCACCCAGCACGGTGACCGTGGCCCTGGCGGTGCGGACGGGCATGGTGAAGATGGAGCAGGTGTACTCGCCCTCGTCGGACAGCTGCACGTCGTCGATGGTGATGGAGAGCTCGGTGGACGTGGAGCGGTGCAGCTGGATACGGTGGTCTCTGAGCGCTGGAGGACAGAAGACGGAGGAGAGGGACAGAAGACGGTGAGACGTTTGCACAGTTTCAATTATTCACAGCGTCATCGTTCGTTCTGGTCGACAGTAATTAGTGCTTTTATTTTTTTTCTTCTCTTCTAATATTCATCAACTCGGCTCTGAGTCAATTCATCTTCCTGTTTACACTGTTGTTAGCATTTTAATAGAGCGTTGATGTGTTTGGACGGAGGACGTGGTTGGATTCAGCTGAGGACGAAAACGTCACCACAGAAAAGCTAAAGGTTAGCTTAACAACAACAACAACAAGAACAAAAGACAACTGTTGCTGTAACACGTCAAACGACCGACTGCTGCAGCTAACTAGCTAGCTAGCAAACGGTATGGAAGTAAATGGCTAAAGGCTAACACTTATGCTAATGTCGCTAAGTGACGGCAGGAACGCAGTAAAGACACAGACATGAGATGGTAAGACTCAAGGATTCAAGGACTCAAGGATTCAAGGACTCAAGGATTTAAGGACTCAAGGATTCAAGGATTCAATGACTCAAGGATTCAAGGATTCAAGGATTCAAGGACTCAAAAAAACAAGGATGAATCAAAAGAGTCAAACCCAGAGTTTGGTCGACACGAGTTTCAGCAGGTGGTAAAAAATGAAAGAAAAAAGATGGAAGGAAACGAGGTGGGAACATAGTGAGAAAAATCATAGAGGCGGCAAAAGAAGGAGAGAAGGATGAGG